CACCTCTGGATCACAAAGTCCTGAGTTGCATCCCCAGGGACCTGTGTGTGTTGCCATGCACTTGTAATCCAGCACTACAGGGGAAAATAGGCAGATGCTGGGGCCCACTGCCAGCAGGCCTAGAGCACTTGATGAGTTCCAGGCAGGAGAAAGATCCCCTCCCCAATGAAAGAGAGAGAGACAGAGAGACAGAGACAGAGAGCGAGAGAGATCTATCACTAGGAGTCTTTTGCTTAGACATGAAAGAGAAAAATTGCAAAGGAGACTACTATTGAATTGGCTACAAAAATGAAATTATGGAAAAAGAATTAATAAGCCAACCACAGGGTTCTTATCAATACTTGTTGCACATATTTCCCTGGGTGTGATATCTTTGCCCTAAATGAGGATATTTTGCTCAGATAAAACATTTCTTTTGAGGTCTGTTTATGCGTTCATTTGGTGGAGTGCTTGCCTAGGGTGCACGAGGTCCTGAGTCCATCTCAAGCAGTGGACACAGGAGTGGTGGAACGCCATTTTGGTGCCTTCTCTGGGGAAAGAGTTCAAGGCCATCTTAGGTTATATAGCAATTTGAGAATAACATGGACACATGAGACTCTGTCTTGAAGAAATGGAAAAAAAAGGAAAATGTCTTTTTATCATTAATTTTAATATTTTAAATACAATGGGCAGGAATATTCAGTTAATGAATTAATTTTTAAAATGCTGATGGAAAAAATACTGATGGAAAAACTCATAGTGGAGGTGAGGTGTAAGTCAATGACAGAGCCATTGTCTAGTGTGCACGTGGCCCTGGAGACAAGAAAAAAAACATGTTGTGTCTGCCTGAAGCAGAGAAAGACATGGCTGCCTTAAATTGATGGTTCTTCAAGTACCTAATAGATTATCTCAAAGGCTGGAGACATTAGGAAAGGAGGAAGAGGGAGGAGGCTGGAAGAAGAGAAGCCATTTAGGGAAACTTGTAGGAGACACAGGAAATACAGATGTAAGGTGTCTGTCAGTTCTGGCTGTGGAGTTTATCCTGAACTAGCACAGGGGTTAAGATGAGGACTGGTTTGCCAGGGGCAGGGTGGTGGAGGGGAAGGGGGAGGTGAGTTGTTCTAACCTGGAAGAGAAAAACCCGCTTATCCCTGGCACTGCTGAGAATTGGTGATACAATTTATGATGATTATTATTTGACTAATAATTATATATATATATTTAATGTATTTTTTATTAAAGTTTTGTGCACACACACAATGGTGCATGAATGTGTGTGTGTTTGTGTGTGTCAGAGGTTAACCTTGGGCATTCCTTCCTCAGATGTCATTCACCTTATCTGTAAGACAGACCACGTGAGCACCTGTAACCACAACACCGTGGGAGATGGAGACAAGAGGATCAATGGGCTTCACAGCCCATCAGCCTGGCCCCAAACATCCCACAAAATCAAGAGAGAAGGGACGTAAGCAATAGTGTGAACTCGATCAGAGTCCATGTGTCTACTGGATGAGAGATGTTTGGAGGTAAAGGGTTCCTTACAGAGCCTGTTCCTCACCAGCATACTTTGGGCAGGGGTGGAATTCTTCTGGTCTCTGTGTCTCCCTGAGTGTGTCCAGCAGTGATGCCAGGCAGCTGGGGTAATGCCCACACAGTGAGTAGGTTGGGCCTGTGTGCACTCTGTGCGGAAGCTGCCATGGAGGAGGAGAAATGACCAGAGAACCTGATCATGGTGAGAACATGAGGGTCTGTGTGGGAAAGATGGGGGAAGGGGAAGGAGAAGGGGAAGAGGGGAATGAGGAAGCTGGGGGGGGGGCAGACTGGTCAGGGAGAGGTGAGGTATGTCTTAGAGACTGGTGAAGTTAGGGGACAGAGGAGGAGGGGTATCTGGGACCAGAAGGCACCTACTGTGGAAGGCACGAGATATGGTGTAAAGTCTAGATCTAATGGAGACCCTGACACAGGACCAGGTGAAGGCTGCTCCGTCCTGGAGAGGCCAGATCCACGTGGATTTGTGTCAACGAGGGTGGGGTGGGCAGGGCGGTAGTCAGTTTGGAGAAAGGAGCAGGAGACTGGGCCATCTGGGAAGAGCTGAGGCTGGGGGTGGGGTGGATCTGAGGGCAATGAGGGGCAGCTCAGAGAGAGCAGCTAAGGCTTGTGGATGGTTGTGGGGAAGAGGAAGATGGAGTTGTCAGAGCTCTGGGGAGGGGACAGAACACATGAGAGGAGTCTGTGGGAAGGAACAGAACTGTAGGATCTCTAATGACATCTATGGTACAAGGAAGTCAGGACCACAGGGCCTGACCTGGGATGTGCTCACCAGGAGTGATGGCGAGGTTGGTCCCATCAATTGACTGCCAGAACTTAATGCCTTCTCTTGTGTTCAGAAGAACTCGGCAGAAGTACCCTGTCTGGTCCTTCTCCTTCAAGTCCAGGATTCTGAGGACTCCGGATGTCTGAGGCTGTGTCCAGGTCAGGATGAGCCTGTTCTTGAAATGCTCATGTATGAAACCCGAAGAAGAGTTGTAGATAAATTCCCCATGGAAGTGCTTCCATCTCCAGAAAATCCTCATCTGCGGATCCTCTGCCAACTCCCAGGGGAAGTAGAAGGAGAAGGGGATCTCGATGGAGCCGCCCTGGACACCAGAGAGGTTTGCTGGTTGGTTGACCCCAAAGGCATTTAATCTGTTGGATCCTGCTGAGTTACCTGAAAAGGATGGGGATCTGAAGTTATTGCCCAGGATGGAGAGGGCAATCCTAGTTGACTGAGCCATCATCCATAGTCAGGTGTGGGACACAGGACAGGACAGTCCTTATGACCCATTGTCCCATACAGGACAGGACAGACAAGGAAAGGTTGGACTGGACCCACACTGAGGATGAGCTCTCTCTTGGGGCAAAGAGCACTGGCTGGCTCTTCTAGCAGATCCCGGTCCACATGACAGTCTACTCTTCCCAGCTCCACTGGCCCCTCCTGTGGTTAGGGCAGAGTCCCTGCTAACAAGGTCCCCACCACTCACCAGCTTGCAGACATGCTGTTGGCAGGTGAAGAAGCAGGATCCAAGCCATGGCCTGATTCCCTCCAGAAAGTGAGAGCAGCAGAGCCATCAGGAAGGAGAGGAGCCCTGTGCAGGGACCCTGGGGTGCTCAGAAGTCAGGAAGAATCAGGGTAAAGAGACAGACAATTCCTGAGTCTTCTCATGTGGAGGACAGAGTGGGGCAGGACCTCCCCATGTCCACCTTCTTGTGACCAGCAACTTCCTTCATGATTCTGACTTCTTCTTTCCTATTCTGCAGAAGATCCGCCCTGTGGTCACTGACAGGATATCTGTGCCCTTGAGCCCAGCCCTCATTATTGACAGGAAGATACAGAACTGACCTCATCGTGCCAGACTCTCCTCTCTTCCATCTTGACCTCCTGTCTTATCCAGTCTGGTCTATTTCCCATGTGGCCTGTAATCACTGTTTCCTCACCTCCACATTTCCTCCACTCCTGTACTCCCCTCCTCATCTGTTTCTCATTGTGTCTCCTCCCATCATACTGGTTGTCTGTCTGTCTGTCTCTCTAATAACCTCAGGCACAGAATTGGCCAGTTTCTGCTCACTTCAGACACAATGAAGATGGAGGTGATGAGGAAACACATTCCGTCCCCAGCCCTAGCTTGGTGTCCCCACCACCATCTGCTCTTTGTCCTCTTCTTGTCCTTCAGGGACTCGTCACAGCACCTGGCAGACCAAGGCCCAGTGGACACTCTCACCCTGGCCTGTTCACTGCTGCCGAATCTGTAACTACCCTGGGCTTCCTGGGTGATCGTCTCCCTCCCCTAGACAGTGACTCCAAAGCTGCTCCAGTTTCTGAAGGAGCCTTTCTACATCCTACCAACCTTCACACACTTCAGAAGAGGATGCCAAGGATCAGAGAAACCCTGGCACACGGCACATGTCTGCCACGTGGCAGGTTGACTTGACTTCGTCCCATCAAGGACTTGTAGTCCTCCACTCCACACAGACTTCAGCCTGCCTGCTCCGTGCAGCCTTTGAGCTCTCCTCAAAGACCAGGGATCTGCTGTTGGGTTCCCAGGAGACTGTTCCCACAAAGCACTTGAGTGACTCCCTCTAGCTGTGGCTGTTCTAGAACCTTCTTTGGATGAAGTGGGCAAAGAAGGTTCAGAGCAGTAACGTCTCACTCATGACATATCCTCTGAGATGACTCTGAGAGTGGACACAGATGACCTGTGACTGGGGTGGAGGTGTGTGAGGTGGGGGCAGAGGCTGTGGTGGCCACAGGGCTGGTTCTGTAGGAGGGTCATCCTACCCTTCCTCATGACATGGTTCCATCTGTTCCCTTGAAGACAAGATTGTTCCAGAGGAAGAGGCATCATTTCTGAGTGACATGTGCAGAGGTGATTTCCCATTTCCTTAGATTCCTGTATTGATTGCCTTCTCCATGCTTCCCTGCAGGTGACTATGCAGCCGGCCTCTGTCATATCTGCTGTCTCTGCCTTCCTCACAAACCCCAGGGTCCTCTGACATGTGTTTGAGCCAGGCTCAAACACTCATGGCCTCACTCCCAGCAGTACATGGACAAACTTCTTTATCCATCCACCCTGCCCTTGGAGATGCAGAGTCACAGAACCTTTGGGATGAGTTTGCTTGATATGGTTAGTAAGGAGAGGGAATGGGTCTATTGTACCTACCAGAAACCATCACACACACCGCTGTTATTGAATAGGGTCTCATATATCTCAGGCTGGGCCTTGAACTTCTTATGTAGCCAAAGATAACCTTGAACTTCTATGGATCCTTCTTTCTGCCCTCCCAAATACTGGGGGACATATGTTCCCCTTTGTGCCCCTTTATCTCCTCCTGGAGATAGAACCCAGGGATCTGTGCAGGTAAGCTCTCTACCAAAAGAACCTTGTCTTTATCCACAGGGAGGCCTTCGAGGGGGCTCTCCTGGTCTTGACCACTCACCTCCAGGCTTCATTGGTCCTTGCCTTACTCTCTGGGGGTCTGTGAAAAAGGTCACTGGATTGCTGTGTCTCTGCAGGAAGGGCTGACCTGATGTGGCTGCCACATGTCAGGTGTTGACCCCAGCATTTTTACACAACAGGCCCTAGTGGGTTCTGTGAGATCCCAGCTGCTCCCTGTGCTCAGCCTCACTGCTGCCACCTGCTGGATCCTTAGTCCCAAGTCATAGGCTCTGCTCTAGTTTCAAGTCCTGGACTTAGTTGAACCACCATAGGGACTCTGCTGTGGGATGATTTCTGTCCAGGATGTTGTAATCAGTCTCCTGCAATGACAACTCCATTTTTGCAGTAGCAGTGACTGGGCCCTGCAGCCATGATGCTTTCAGAGGGGAGGGGCACTTTCTGTGGAAGAGCAGCCTGGGGCTGTGGTGTGCACACGTGGGGCTTCTGTACACAAGTGACTGGGTGTGTCAGACTGCAGTGTTAGGTCCTGGCAGCTGCACACATTAGTATGTGTGTGTCCTGCCCCCACAGAATAAATAAGTAAATGTAATTTAAACTATTAAAACCAAAGGTAGTCTAGGCATGATGGTGCATGTCTTTATTTCTAGCATTTAGGAGGCAGAGGGAGAGGCTAGTGGATCTCTGTGAGTTTGAATATATTCTGGTCTATATGTTCAATTCCAGGCCAGCAGTGCTATGTAGTGACCTCTTATCTAAAAACTAAATAAAACAAACAAAAACTCCAAAATCAATCAATCAAACAAAAACCTACAAAAAATTAAAAAACAGAGGTGAATCGTATCCTGATTAGCAATGCCTGAGGTTGTCCTCTGGCTTCCACTTACATGAGCACACATTATTTGCAAACACATGCACTTGCACAAAGAACCGTACAAATCACACAAGGCACCTTTCACAGTTGATCTGCCATCACACATTTACCCAGTCCTCATCTTGAGTAAACATGGCCTCCCAGGCATGGTTATGTGACTCTTCAGACTCCAGTTCCTGATAGTGTCCCCAGAATCCAGACTCTGATTTTAAATACCTAGTTGTGTTTTTCCATAACAGTAATGGCAGAGAACAGGCTTAACACTTCCTATTTCTGTCTAAACCATCCAATTCCAGTAACTTCCCTCAAATAACACACAGTACAAGCTTTGTG